TCTTGAAATTTGATTGGTCAATCATCTAAAATGCGATATATAAGCATATCGCAGGTTGTGATGCCTAATTAAGTCCTTTTATATATTATAACCAATTTGAGTATCAGCGTTTTGTAGTAAAATCTATAATTTTTAATTAGATTTTTACTATTTTTAAGTTTATCAATTTGATTTTTTAGTGTATTTATATATTTAGCATCACTTGTATTTTTTGAAGACGAAGATTGTGAAGATTTTGATTTTTATTATAAAGATAATGTTTGGGAAGGTTGTGATTTTTGATGTAAAGATGAAGATTTGAAAGAATATGATATTTTGTATGAATCTGAAGATTGGGAAGACTGTAATAAAGATTGTGATAAAGATCATGAGGGTAAAGATGATATTTGATATAATATTGAGATGAAAGTAAAGATTACAAAAATCAAAAAATTTATCTTTTTATATAAGTTTTGTTATTCGATAAAAATTATAATATTAATTGCGAAATCAAAAAAAAGAAAAAATTTAGCTTCTTAGCTTTATATGAATTTTGTTAGCAATACAATTTACAAATATTTTATATTCTTATTAATATAGTTTTGAATACATTAAAACATATTTAATTTTAGAAAGGTTCTGATAAAGTAGTCATAAGAATTTTAATATATTAAATTTATAAACAATTAGAAAATTAAAAGCAAGAATAAAATGATATAATTATTACAGTTTTCAAAATATTTGAAAATAGATAAAAAAAATTAAAATCATAAGTAAATCAAGCATTATTTTCAAATGATATGCTAAGGTAGTTTGAATATAAGTGTACTCAAAAAATTTTTTTTATCTATTTTCAATCATTTCGAAAACTGTAATAAATGCTACTATTTAATTAGAAAACTAAAACTTATTATATAAATATAGCCTCCCCAAGGGTTAGTTATTTGATAATTACAAATTCTAATGTAATCAAAAACCATAATTGATAAAATTGATTATATTAGAGTTTGTAATTGTCATGACTAACTCTGGGAGAAGCTATATTTACATAATAAGTGTTAGTATCCTTATGTGATATTTAATATATTATTAGTCTGAAGTGAAGTAAAGAACTATCTTTTTATGCAAGTTGGTTACATCATGTGGAAATTATCTAATCAAATTGAATACATAAACAAGTATATTTATTTCAGTATCCTACTTTAAAAAACATTTATCCAGATATTATCCAATTTCAAACTTATTAAATCAGATTATATCCAAATTTTACAACTGGATTTTTTTTTATAAAGCCGTATTAATGATAGAAAGGATTTAAAATTATAACTATACTACTTTGCAACAGAACGTGATTCCTCTTTTTTATTAAATAGAAGTTTTGTTTTATATATTTTGATTAATATAAAAGAACACTTTCTGAATTCTACTAAATTATATTAGAGGCACATGCTATCGTATTTGTATGCAACATTAATTTAGTTTGATATTCAATTATCATTATAAACGAAAAGATTATAATTAATTCATTATAGATTTTAATTTAATTATAAATTATGATAATCAAATATCGATATCTGAATAATATATAGATACGTATATGGATTTTCCTTACATTTCAGAAATACAATAATATACATTTATATGTGATTAGGCCTAGAGGCACTAAATTTATTTTTAAACCTTATAATTAATCTTTTTTAATTGGTTTGCTATACAGAACAATTGTTTAATAAAACCTTAAATAGTTAAATAATATAATAGATTATGCAAGAAAATCACTAATTAGAACCAAAGCAATTAGTCTAAATTCTATAAAGCTATTTATTTGAATATAGCAAATAGTGCCTAATATTATTTTCTTATATATATGTTGTGCCTCAGATCGATTCTTGTATCGGATCTAATCTGATGCACGTCAGATGCTGATTTCCAGATGACGCACGTCACCTGCCAATTGGTCATCTGATGTGCGTGAGTTGTAATCTGACGCAAGATCATCAAAATCAAAAAAAAAGTTTCTTTCAACGAAAATGTAATAACGTAA